TCTATATAGCACAATTACTCAGAAGAAAATACTTTTCTCTAGGGAACAGATGGGAGGACAAATGTGAATGACTGTCCTCTAGCAACAGCTACAGACCACATAAAATGTTTTGCAGAAGTTCCCCAACTAATCATATTCATAGCTGTCAACTTTTTCCTTTTTTTAAGGGAAATTCCCTTATTCCAAATAGGATTCCTCGCAAGAAAAGGGAAAAGTTGACAGCTATGCATATTGTGAGAAAAGCTTTACTGTTTCTAACGCAGAGGCTACTGACAACAGAGTGTTACATTATGAACATACTAGGAACTCTAAACTTCCATCTCCATCCTTCTGTCAAGCTTCCTTACAGCAGTTCAGTTCTTAGTGGTGTGGGAAATCCATTGAAGTAGGGCTCCCTCTTCCCAAAGAGGCCATTCTTGTGTCACTTCCATTGCAGCCATAAAGCATGGTGCCCATATAACCAGTACTCCATATCACTATCTCCCACCATGAGTCCCCACATCCTGTCCCCCAGCATAAGGCTGCCCAGAATGTGGAATGAGGGTGTGAAGATTCATAATATGTTTGTCACTACAGTATCTAGGCAGTTGGCATGTCACAACAAGTTTCTAACTCCCCAAACCCCATTCTGGTGCTCCCAACCCTTTTGTTAGCAAAGCTGAAGATAGGACACAGAGCTCAACTCCCCTCTACATCTGTCTGTGGCATTACATCTTCGTAAATCATTAAAAGAATCCTCATCACTGATGGCTGAACTATGATAATATGAGAAGAAAACAATATCACTCTTAAGGTGGAGCCTCAATGCATCTTGGAATCTCTGCACAAATATATGCTGGGAAACAAGAGTCTGAGAGTGAAAGCTGACACACTTGACAAAGTCCAGATGCCATCTCACTTAGGAAGGACATGTGCTTCTTCCAAAAGTCTAACTATAGACAGTCTTAGAAGAGTCCTGCTGTGGTTACATGCTCTCTTAATAAACATGCAAGGCATTCCACAGGGCCTAGATTGCCCACAGTATCCTGTTAAAAAGGACCATGATATCATGGAAGCATTGACAGCTGTACGAGATTTTAGAATGGTGGACCCTATTCATATTCCAGCAGGCTTATTGCTACTTGCACCAATTGAAATTAGGGGTTATTTCAGATGCCACAATCCCCCCCCCCGAGGTTATTGCGTTTTTCAGCCTAATGTAGCCTGCCTGTAAACAGCTTACAGTATTTGCAATAAATGTGAAACAACCATTCCGTCTGATGTGGGTAGGCATTATTGTCCTAATTTATGGCTTCTTGATACTGCGCAATAAAAAGCAATATTGAGGAGAACAGAATAAAAAATATGGATTAGGAGTAAAGTTGACAATACTTTTCTGGCTGGGATCATTTGCCATTAATAACTGTATAATAAGGCAAATTTCAGCAGGTGAAGTTTTCCCAGCATGCAGGCACAGTAATGGTTCATTTGCTGAATTCCTGTCTGTCATGCAGCTGTAAAAAAGCAATGTAGCTTTCCAAGAAAAAAGGTGGCAACTAATTAGGAACAACTTTGGTTGTGTTGTTCATACAATGTCAGATAGCCAGAACATACCACAGTGGACATCAGTAGGATTGTACTGAAATATATCCACAACATAGATATGCTTGTTTTGCAGTACTTGTAGTTAGAATATTGATCAACTAAGACAGTTATTTATATTGTGCAAAGGAATGTATAGGATTAATTCTGAGTATTTCTATGCCCATGTTGCTCCTTGCTATTCAGCTTCTAAATATGAAATGCACCTTGTATTAGTATGTGTTACTGGATGTTTTCTTCCTAAAACTGGCCAACGGCTGCAGGATATATTACAAATCCCAGCAAAGTTGGCATGGAGACAGATATCTGTGTGCTCAGAACTATTTTGATTAAGGCTCTTGAGAGACAGAAGACTGGATAAGTCAAGTGTGAAATGAGTTACTGTCTTTCATAGCCTCTATCATTTACCATCTCTTCCTTGCTATTTCTGTACTACAAAACAGAACAGCGTTAAAATTCACAAACTGCACCCTGAACTAGGATTGGAAACAAACTGAAAACCAATGAAGTTGTTCCAAAATATGTACCATATGTTTACAATAGCCTTTGGTTGATAACTTATAGGCAGCTACGTTTTAAAGCCATTTAAGGTTTCTGGATCATCTTGAGGGACAGCCATGGATGCAGCACATTACAGTAAGTCAATCTAGAAATTACAAAGGCAGAAATGAGGGTAACTAGTTATCATAGGGATGGGATGTAGCTCAACAGAGCACATGCTCTGCATGTTAAAGGTTCCCTAGACTCAATCTCTCATATCTCTAGGTAGGATTGGGGTGGAGGGATCCCATCTGGATTGCTGTTGCCAGTCAGTGTGGACAAAATTGAGCTTAACAGATCAAGGGTTTGACTTGGATGACTCTAGATTGTATTTCACAGGAGGGTTTCAAATGCATATCATAAATTTAAGTTTGTATAATTAAAGTGCTCTGCCACCCTAGCATAACAAATCTACTTTTTAAAAAACCCTGAACTTTTTGCACTTATCCTGCCTCCTTCCAATAGCTATCTTTTATTCTTATAGCTTACTTAATATATTCTGCTTTTGCCCCACTTGTTGTTTGAGTTGCTCAGACAGATTATCTGTTGAGACTTTTTAGCAGTGTGACAGTTAAGTTTTCCCCACCTTTGTAGCTTCATGTGTGGATAGTGTGATTACATACTTTAGTCACTAGATGGCACTGGAGTTAGTTGTATCTTGGCTGTGAGGAGCTTCCTTGTCCCGTTTTTTGTTGGAGAGACAATAAACTTAAGAGTCTAGTTTCATGACTGGTGCATCCTTTGAGCCAGTAGCCTTCAACTATTTCAGACCTTTCACCCAAATGTGCATTTGGGGACCACTTTATTATTATAATTTTTACTATCTATTTGTATGATGGTAGTGCCACTGTTGCGACCCAACTTAGGAAAAGCCCTTCTGGTAACAAAATGTGCTCCCTGCCACCACTCAACCACCACCTGCTGCCCCCAAACTACCCTCAAAAATCCTACAGAAGACATATAAGCAGGCCTATGTTTAGCTGCTGCAACCACCAGACTGTCAGAGTTCCCTTCAAAGAGAACAGGAGAGGATTATTTCCCAGCTCATCAGAATGGAAGAAAGGACCCGTCAGACTTCTTGAACGGCTCTGCAGAGCAATACGAAACCTGTGACCCTACCTCTAGTCAGGATGCACTTTTTGATGAATAGCTCACCTTCCAGAAGGGCTAGAGACTTTCTTTGGGTGGTTGTTTTTCCCAATGAAAGCTCAGACTCTAGAGCCCCAATTGCACCATGAATAATCGGCCTTGTGGGGGCATCCCTTTCCTAAAGTTCTCTACTCCATGATGCTTGGTGGTTCTTCCAAGCATTTGACTGAAATATTCACACATGGAAATATGGCAGCAAGTGAGCCATGCCTAATATGTGTGTACAGCATAAGTGCCAGGGAACACATATAATATGCACATTGATCTAAAATAGGCTGTTCCTAAGCAAGGGGACGTGGGTGGTGCTGTGGCCTAGGACTTGCTGATCAGAAGATCAGCAGTTCGAATCCCAGCGACGGGGTGAGCTCCCGTTGCTCGGTCCCTGCTCCTGCCAACCTAGCAATTCGAAAGCAAGTCAGAGTGCAAGTAGATAAATAGGTACCGCTCCGGTGGGAAGGTAAACGGCATTTCCGTGTGCTGCTCTGGTTCGCCAGAAGCGGCTTAGTCATGCTGGCCACATGACTCGGAAGCTGTACACCGGCTCCCTCGGCCAATAAAGCGAGATGAGCTCCGCAACCCCAGAGTCAGCCACGACTGCACCTAATGGTCAGGGGTCCCTTTACCTTTACCTTTAAGCAAGAAAACGCACACATGCTTAAACAAGATACCATAAATTCTACTTGAATTCTTAAACAACAACAACCCAGGAAAACTGAAGATCAAAGCGCTGCCTTCAAGTCTGAATTTTGCTTTATCTCAGATTATTATCCCCCGCACTATGGCTGTGTTTTGCTGACAATGGAAAGGCGGTAGCAGTGCCACTACCAGAAGTGAGACCAGGCACATTGCTATTTATCTTCCTTCCAGACTACATTCAAATGATCAGAAATCACTCCACACACACACTCCACAAATGTCCTGTAAATGCAATGCCCCTCAAATGCTCTGCACATCATTCAGATTACTGAAAGGAGGTTCCTTTGCCAGATACCTCAATACATTGGGAGAACAGCACAAGGCAGGGTTGGTGGGGGATGACAGTGACTGACAATTCTTTTTATGCAAGCAAAGAAAAGGGGTTTTCACAGTTATAATAACCACAAAGTTTACTGCTTAATGCCAGTTGTGTCCACAACAAAAATCAGAGCCAATGAAAGTCCACAGAATAAAACAAAGGCAAAAAAGGGCATCTTGTTCTATTCTGTATAAGGGGGGAGGGATTTTCTTCCCTCTTACCAGTAGAGGGACACAGAGTCCCTTGAGACACATCAGCCTGTGGCTGACACTCTCTTTGGCAACCTGCCATTTTACCCACACACATTGAACTTGCGCCCAGTATCCCAGCTCCTTCACTGTAAGCAAAAACAAAGCAACAAAAACACTCTTGGGGATGGGATAGGAACACGTTCCATCCTTAATGATTTGATGCATAAACCTTATGCAAAGATACTCATATTGCAGAATTCTAAATGAGAGGGTTGCATTGCCAAACCAAGGCACTTGAAGCCATATAGCAGGATCACTTCAAATGTCACTAATGTGCACTTTAATCCAACACATTCAGAGTAGCTTCACATGTGAGCCTCCTTCCAATATCAGATACATGTTATTTAATTCTTTAATGACAACTGCAAACCATTATCATCCTTTTTATGTTTATTTCACAGCTGTCTCTAAGCGATTATGCACGTGATTTGATATTCTCATCATCACAACGGTTTGCGGTGACTGTGGGGCCGGGGCCGGGTAGGAAGTCTAGTCCTTGCCGACTCTTGGACATTTCAGCCTATGATAAGATATCATTTGCCATAGATGCAGCTTTGAGGAAACAAGGAGCGCTGAAGAGGTCAGCTGACTGCTTCAGTAAATGCCCTTTGTGATGAGGGGAAAGGATAGTATATTTATATATCTATTTCTAAAATGCATATTGTTCAATAAAACATTATTAATAAATATCAGCATAATTAATATTAATGTAATTGCATTAATTAAAAAGAAAAGTATCATAGCCATAATGTGCTAAAAGCACTGTCTAGGTGTAACTATCAGGGTAGGTTTTAAAACCCTTTGTATGTGAGTTTCACAACAGGCAGAACATGTAGTTGAGAAACAATGGCTTCTCAATACATCCAAAGCACACATCTCAAGAATCCTGGGAACTGTGGTTTGTTAAGGATGCTGGGAACTATAGCTCTGCACTTGGGAAACTACAGTTCCCAGGATTCTTTAGGGTGGGGAATGTACTTTAAATGCATGGTGTCTACACTGCCACTGAAAACAACTTCGCAATAAACTGAAGTCTAGGATGACCTTGATGAGAAGTAATACATGATATCTTAAACCCATCTCCACCTTGCCAATTCCCTCCACCCTCCTTCCACTCTCTCTTTCTTACCACCTTACTGCCGCTGCACGCACCCTTCAGCTCTCCCCTCCACTACTTCATATTTTGTACTTCAAGTGCCTCTGCCTTCCCCTCCAAACACAAACCCCAAACATGGTTCGTTACAAAAAGTGAATCCTTTCAACCAAAGGAGTTTGAGTTAGTGCAAGCTGAACTGCTGTCAGCACGGTCTAACACATTCTGATGTCACTGGGTAGCCTTTGTGGAAGGAAACTGGGAAAGTTCAAAATGCTCAAGAGCAGCTGAATGGAAATGGCCCAGTTTGAATGTAGTGCTAGGCCGAACTATGGCTTCGTGCAAACAGGCAAGTGTGCAGGTTTCCGGATAGAATATCATGGCTGTTTTGTTCTTCCTCTGGTCCTGCTGCTGCTACGCTGCTATGAGCTAAGCCATGGTTTGACTTAGCTTTATGTATGAACCCAGGCATGTAATTTATTCCGCCCCCACAACAAACGACAAATGTCACAGAACAAACCATGGCTACACCTTGTAGTTTGTCTGTAATGAAATAATTATTCAGATGGAACACTAATCCAAATCATGACTTACCTCACAACAGTGCAGTAGTGGCAAGACAGGAGGTGCAATCTTTTCCCTGGGAGCCAGCATGTTTCTTCATGGTATGGCTTGGTGTTATATGTGAATCAGGTCACTATGAGAATATGCTGAATCATTCAGGCAGGCAGTTCAACACAGGCAAATTTAAACCTGGAAATAACACATTGATTCTTTTCAGGGTCAGGTAGTGATGCAAATGTTTATTTATTAACCAAATTTGTATACCACTTAATTGTAAATAAACCCTCTAAGCAATTAACAAAGAATCCAATCAGATGACTTCTTCTTCAGAAGCTTATTGGCAATTCAGACAGTCTCCACCATCAGCAGAGATGAAGGAGAAATATCCTCTACATATCTTCTTGGGGTCAGTGATTTATGTGAGGTGAAGTGGTTAGATTGGAACCTGAGATCTAATTCCAACTCTGCTGTGAAGCTCACTAAGTGATATTGGGACAGCTGCTATCTCTCCCAGCCTAATCTACTTCCTATGGTCAGTCTGATCTCAAAGCAAAATAAAGTGAGAGCCATGTACATTGCCCTGAGCTCTTAAGAGGAAGGGCAGGATACAAAAGGAATAAATAATTACTGAGTGAATTACCCTCAATTTGCTGCTATGAATGCTCTTCGGTACAAAAGTGAAAATGGCTTAAATAGCTAAACAGCAATGACACTCATAAAATTTTAGGAAACATGCTTTGAGCTTAAAGAAATCTCCTCAATTCTGAATCATGTTACAGCAGCCATCTGGGATGCTGCTGTGGTTGGTATATGATCTTCATAGCTCCCTTGAGAATGTTAATCTCCTTAGCTCCTTGGCATGTGATTCTGTTTGAGGCTTTCTTTCTGATTATTTCAAATTGTGGGGGGAAACCCAAGCATTTCCTTCATATTGTAAATAATATTTCCACATGAAAGTCACTCAGGGCTGAATAGTGGGTAGTCTCATATGGTTGTGCATTTGAGTGAAAGAGCTTGCAAATGGATTATCAGGTTCAAGTGAAACATTAACGAGGGCAGGGTGGAAAACAGATTTCATTGCCATACATGGAGGACAGGAGTCGCTCGGCATTGACACCCTATTTCTGTACTCAAGTCTGTCCACCAGCTGGTAAGTGCTGATGCATAGGTAACTGATCTCAGGAAAAACATGGGTCCCGAATGTCCATAAAGGAACATTACTGGGTGAAGGTTTAAAAATAGAGGCAATCAATGTGATGCACCCAAGGATGTCCTGAGAGCAGCTCTACTCTTGTAACAGTGCTGACAGAAAAGAGTGACATGGGTTCCAGTTTTCCATGCAAGAAGTGTGCCTGTTAAGATTACCTTATGAAGGAGTGAGTGGATATTCCTTACAGTTGAGCAGCAAGTTGCTTCTGTACCTGACCAGCAATAAGTCCTACAGGTGATGTGGGATACCTTTCTCTTTAACTTTTATCACCTCTGTTATGGAGGCAAGCCACCTATTTTTGAGGGCTGTAGCCTTTAAACAAAAAGTAGGCAACACACTGGAGGCTGGACCATTAGGAGGAAGAAGGAACTGCTCCACCAACTTAAGGGCTCATCCATACTTTCTTTGCTCTGCATTTCTAGACACAGGTTTATGCTTCAAAACTTCCTGTCTTCTTCTTCGCCTCACCGATTTCCCCACGAAAACCTACTCTTTCCCTGCAAAAGCCTACTCTTTACCACCAAATTGGAGCAAATGACAATTCAAAGAAACCCTGAATTGCTGTTTGTTCTGATTCAACGTTAAAGAGCGGATTTTCCTGGAGAAAGCAGCAGAGTGGGGAAAGCAGTTGGCTATGGACTGGGAAAATGCAGACCTCTACCTAAAAAGCTTGGGACAAAAGGTAAGAGTGAATGAGCCCTCAATCTGGTATCATTCAGCCTCTATCTTCTTGCCTTCCTACTTACACCCAGTCCAAGGAGTAGCACTGCCCATCAGCTTCTTCAGTGTCAGTGTTGTCCTTGTAGAATTCAGCAGGGAGCAAGTTGGGGACAAAACTAGAATTGGCTCAGACTCCAAATACTGTTGGACTTCCAACCTTCTACCCTACAAGTCCCAACACTGCAGTGTTCCCTTCCAACTTCTCACTATGGAACCAGATTTTTTCAAGCTACTACAAGACCAATAACAAAATAGCAAGACCAATTACTTAGCCACTTCTTCTGGTTTTGTGACGTAATATATATAAAACACATGCGGTATAAACTGGTGATAAAAGACATGGCAAAAAATAAAGATAAGAGGGTAGGAAATAATCTAGGGCACAAATTATGTATAAATGCAAGCAGGAGAAAGGGAAGGAAGAACAACTGCAATATAAATGTGATTAAGAAGATCAAAGTGCTTTGGGTTTTTGTGCACAAAGGGCAGGCCAACCAGGAGCAGCTGTAGTATTTAATTCAATAGCGGACATGATCTCTCCTGCAAGAAAAATACCAACCAGTTCAAAGAACTCAAGGGAAATAAAGAGCAGATGATGGAAAGATAGATCTGGATCCCGGAAACCTGCATTTGACTGGCATGGCAATGTATGATATACACCTGTCAACTTGTTCAAGATTAAGTCCTCACAATCAACTGAAATTAAGGAAGGAGATGTTTAATCAGATTATCAGAAAAGAGCTAAGAGGTCTTTACTGTTTCAATGAGAAGCAACAGCAATGTGCTCAAGAACTGGTTGCCGCAGCACCACACTGTGCGGGGACAGATTTTATGCATGCAGTGGTCAAGAAGTGGGCAGAACTCATCGATGCTGATGTTGGCTCAGCATTGCTGAGCCTCTGTAGAGATGTTTGGCAGCCTGCACCACCATCAATAAACTATGCCACTGGCATATGCAAACCATTAGAGGCTTCTAGAGGCAAGAACCTCCTAGATGAAGAAACAGTCTGAAAATGTGTAGTCAGTGCTTCCTTAAAGCAGAGGTGGCACTTGGACTAATTTCATGCAGGTGAATGGGAAGAGAGGGGTGGCAGAGAGAGGGGTGCGGGAGAGAAAGAAAGAGACAAAAGGAGCTACCCTTCATCCATTTATGGCTCAGGCCCATGCATCCTCCGACGGATTGACTCTCAGAATGTTCACTTCCCAGGAGAAAAAAAGGTTCTCCACCCCTAGCTCAAAGTTTAGAAACAGGAGCAGCTGTGTGGGGTCTATAGGGTATATGGTCTATAGGGTGGTCTGTCCACATGTTTCTGCAATATATCATCTTCTGCACATCCTGTATGCATCTTTTCTTCTCATCTCCATAAATCCCTATACATTATTATTCCCCTTAAACTATCATTGAAGGATGCCCACCCATGAACCCTTGGTTTGGACATTTCTGACTGAATGAGAATTTTCTCACGAATAAAGTGTAAGAAATTTAAAAGGAGGTTGGAGAAAAAAATGGAGAGTACACTCTCCCGCAGGTGTTCTGCCTTATTTCCAAGAATCTAAGAACCATGAAATATGGGTACATCAAAGATTCAAGCATGGGGAAATTCCATTTTTTTTATTAATGAGCTGAATCCAGAGCCAAGACAATCCACCTAGATCCTGAAATGTACAGTGGTACCTCGGGTTACATACGCTTCAGGTTACATATGCTTCAGGTTACATACGCTTCAGGTTTCATATGCTTCAGGTTACATACGCTTCAGGTTACAGACTCCGTTAACCCAGAAATAGTGCCTCGGGTTAAGAACTTTGCTTCAGGATGAGAACAGAAATTGTGCTCCGGCGGCACCACTAAAGTGGTGCTTCAGGTTAAGAACAGTTTCAGGTTAAGAATGGACCTCCGGAACGAATTAAGTACTTAACCCAAGGTACCACTGTATATAATTTTGTTGTGTACAGCAGAGATGGAAAACGTCCGATGGCAGTTTTTAGATCACACAGTCTTGCTGTTACTGCACTCCTGTTCTACTTTTTGCTGTGCTTCTGCCTTAAGCCCCTTTCTCTGCTCCCCCCCGCCCCCAGCACGAACTTCTCAGCCTTGTCATATTACTCACCAGCTGTGTAACAGGAACCCTTCAGCTGTTTTGATGTATGAGGCGTGAGCATGTCTGAGCCTCATCCTGTCCTTTTGAGACCCTGTGTCCAAATACCTGCTGCTGGCTAGAGAGACAGGAGAAGTTTATTAACCCTCCCAGCTATGGTGAATTATTTGAAGTCGCTCCTTCTATATTTCCATTTCCCTGATGTTACCTCTGTCTTCATCAGGATGATGTTTTTTTGTCTCTCTCGTTCTGTGACTGATGTTACTCTCACATGTCATCGGTGCCTGGTTCAAAATCCCAAACCCAGCGAAATGGTACACACATCATCTGCTGTGCTTGTGCCCATGCCCACTGTTACACGAGTGTGCCCAAGTGGCTAACAGTTAACACTCATGGTTAACCAACAATTCGTTAAAGGAAAAAGCTTAGAACATCACAGTGTTTCCTGATTAAATCAATTCAATGCTTTTAGCCCTACTTTTCTTGCAACAGTTATAGTTGTTAGAAGAGATCTCCTCGAGGATGCCCCAATTAAGCACCACAACATCCTGGCAAAAGGAATACAAAAAGTCCTTTTAAAAAAAGGTTAATCTAACCCAACAGTACTATCTCTGCACGGTAAAAAAAAATTATTTTAAGCAGAGAAAAATCTAGCCTTACCATCTTCATGGTGCAGAGCCTGGAAGAATCCTAACAGAAGTGTGTAGAGAGGAGACATTCAGCTTGGGAGCAGGATGGCTCCAGTACTTTTTTGTTTTGTTTTGTTTTTGTTTACCCAGCGCCAAGATTCCTGAGCATTCTCTGGTTACAGGACAGCGGCTGAAGTCCAAGGATGCTGTTGGAAAAAGATGATCCCTGGAGGCATTTCTGCTAATACTGAAAACATGGTTGAGCACGATTCTATAAAGCTGCAAATCCCACAGGGAATGTTTTTAGAAACACATTAATGCCTCGGCTGAATCGGAGGCAGGCCAAAGCCTCAAGTCAAAATTTCAGAGCACTATCATAAGGAATAGGAGGCACTCAAATGCCATAATTCTACTTTTTGTGTGTGTGAGAGATACCTCAACGTGGGACATGAACACAGCAAACTAGGCTCCTCTTTCCATTACTGCCATCCCTTCCCTTAAATTGCCTCTCAGTCCTGAGGAAGAAATATGGCATGTTCTTATTCAGTGACCATGGAACTAGGCCCTTAAAGGTATAGTGTTGTATTCAGTGCTTTTTTGTGGTGGTACAAGCACTTCCTTTTTGGTTGCCCATGGCAGCCATTATGTGCTGCCACCCATGTTACTTTTATCAAGATACAAGTACCAGCACCTCATTTATTTATTTTTTACCAGAAAAAGCACTGGTTGTAGTCAACTAAGTTTTACCAGAAAAAGCACTGGTTGTAGTCAACTAAGTTTTACTCAGAGTAGACCTGTTGAAATTAATAGTTTTAACTTAGTCATGTTCATTAATCTTGCTGGGTCTACTCTGAGTAAAATATAGTTGAACACCACCCATTTTCTTTGGGATTTCCACCTGGCAACTCCACTTCTTTTTATTTTCCTGCACCCAATTTACTCCTGCTTCCCACATTTTTTTTAGTTTAGCTGTTCTGATGATGTAAAAAGAACTTTGCTCCTAATTTCAAAGCAGTTAGGACCTCACCGTTTCAACTGTTAAATGAAGTGAATGGAGGAGTTTTTATTTGTCCACATACTTTCTGATTAAATTATTTATTGCTTATTTATCTGAAGAATTTTGGATCACACTCTTTAGCCCAGCAAGTCTTCCAGGTCACTACACATGAGAGAGGCCCTGCCCTCAGGCTTGCAATCTAAAATAACCCCATGAGATTGAGAGAGAGAGGTGGAAATAAGCAAACTCAAGCACAAGTTCTTAATTACAAGTTCTTTTAATGACCAGCTGGGGTAGAAAAGTTCAAGGAGGGGAGGAGCCAAACAGGACTGGCTTTTCAGCTGTGTCATTGGAATGGTTGCCGTCAAATGACAAGGAAGGAAGGAGCCTGGGTTTACAGCAAATCTGATGATGGCCTTGCATCACTTTCCTTCCTTCCTCTATTACAGCCTGATGTAATGGCTGCTGCCAGGTGACAGTTTGGAAAGAGGGAGGAGTCTAGACTCTCAGCACAGTTTTTGGCAACCCTGCACCTCTTCTTTTCCAGTGTTGCAAAATCACATCCAGAACAGAAGTATGCTACATAAGATGGTTTACAATTTGAATTTGGATACTTATGTCCAGGGGTAATATTCACCTTGACCTCTTAGGTAGGCCTTCAATCTGTGGATGGCCCTTAATGGTGGGGTGTGGGGTGGGACTATCTGTGGAATACATGACATAGCTGGATCTGAGTTTGCAGCTCAAGCATAGAAAGCATGTCAGTTTTCAAAATGAACTTTTAAAAATCTATTTTTAAGCTATTTGTTGGTTGGGGTGTATCTACCAGATGATTACCTCTATCAGCTTTTTTTTCTTTTTTGGTCACGTTGTGCCTTTCTGGTGTATGATTTTTAAAATATAGTCACAGAAAAGCAGTGTTGGGCAGAAAAGCAGTGTTAGATGGTTCCAAATAAAGTATGCGTTAACAAGTGTTATTTCCGAATTCTTCCAAATTGCATATACCACATAGGACAAAATTCAAATTGTAATACAAAAAAAATACAATATCTAAGAAATAAATATTTCTTAGTGCAACACATTATAATTTCATATAAGACCAAATCCCCCAAAGCCTCTACTGGAGGGCAGGCCCACTGTAACTGTAAATAGGTTCCTATTTAACTGCATTGTTTTCAGCTTCCCCTCACCCTTGAGCTTTGAGACTAAAACAAATTTATTTTTAAGTAACACAATTAAGGGTCTGCTTATATGATCCATTATCCTGAGATGGAAAACCCACCAACTCATTCCAGCTTATTACTGTATTTTTCACTCTATAACACGCACTCGACCATAACACGCACGTAGTTTTTAGAGGAGGAAAATCCGTAGGCATGCCACCCGTAGGCATTCCCTCCATAACACGCACAGACATTTCCCCTTACTTTTTAGGAGGAAAAAAGTGAGTGTTATGGTGCAAAAAATATGGTATTTATATAGGAACATAATAAGCTGCCTTGGTTAGGGGTGTATTGATAAGAAAAGCAAGTGAAAAAATATGAACAACTCCTGGAAAGGGCAGGAACTTTTTTAGACTGCAGTCCTAATTCCCTATAGGATTAGGCGTAAACCCCATTGAATTCAGTAGGACTCCTGAGTGAGCAGACATAGTTGGGATTGCACAGTTGCTCATTTTTCTTTCATGAGAAGTCGCTAAGCAGCAACTAGATGTGCCAGGCAGCCATTGTAAACATGGCTGGGAATTTGGATGAAGAGTAGTGGATCAATTTTGCTCCCTTACCCAAAGTTTTCAATTTCACACATATTTGGAATTCTAAATTTATTAATTTATAGCCAGTGGTGAATGTGTTGGGTGTAAGATTAGGCAGATGGTAGTTTGAGTCCCCACTTAGTCACTAGGTGGCCTTGCGCCAGTCACTGTTTCTCAGGATAAAGATAAAATGGAGACAAGAACCATGTATGGTACACTGAGCTCCTTGGATAAAGGATGTAATATTACTAATTGGATTAGAAATAGGCTTTAACCCCTTAATCTAAAATAAATTCAAAGCTTGGGTACCAAAAGTTTGGGTTTAAAAAAGAATTCAAATTTTAAAATGTGATAATAGTGAAGGTTTAATATTTTTGTCATTAGAAACGCTAAATTCCTAGATAACGCTGTTTCAGTGTGTTTCTGTTTCAGAATTTAAAAATGTAAAGCACCACTGGTAGGAAACTGAGGAGAAAACTGCAAACCTGGTCCTGAAGTCAGATACAGTACATTACATGGATCTGCTTAGTCCACAATGGGAAAGAGATGACAAACAGTTGCAGTAGAGCTTAGTGGACAGGATGAATGCCTCCAGCCTGCACTGCCTGTACCCACATTGTAGAGAAAACAATCTGGATACTTTGTATTATGCTGGAAGCCAAACACTGGAGTGTGAAACGTCCTTGTTATGCGAATAACTCCCTCTTTAATAGATAGGAGGCATTACAAATATCCTCAAACAATCCCAATGGCCTTATGTCTGGATTAGGCCTTCTCCATGTGTGTAGAATCTATTCCAAAAGGAATGCCTTTGGCTGATTCACAACACAAACATAGCCAGAGAATGCATGGCCTGTGATCCTTGTCAGCCTTACAACAATGAGCAGACAAAGGAAAACACGACGTGCTAATTGAAAGCAACACTTCATGCATTTATAGGTCAGGCTATCTACCAAGTGCTAAAATGTCTCACAGAGCAGCTTGCCCATTTCCGTGGGAATATTTTCAGAGATTTTGAACACATGCCCCCTCTTCATGTAGCATTGAAAGTTTGCATAACTTTTTATTTGTTGATCACATAAAACAAATGGCCTTCTAATGTACATTACAATATAAGCTCTGTGTGTGTGTGTGTGTGTGTGTGTGTGTGTGTGTTGGGGGGGGTTATAATCAGTGGGGCCTGTATAGAACACACAAAAAGAAAAAGCAGTCAAAAGAAGACACAGATTTGGGTAAAATTTGCATATCCTGATTTATATGTATAGTCAGCAACCATTTGGCATGGGGGTTCCATTCCTGGCCCCCACGTGCGTCAACGGAGCACGCATAAGCCCACTCTGCCCCATTCAACTCTGCTACACACCATTCCATCCCCTGTTCTGCCTTCTTCCATGTCCAAGAGGACCTGTTTGTCAGTGGCCACACATTAATTGGACAAGCACAAAATGCTCACCGCCTGTATCGAAGCCAATTTAAAAATGATTGCAAATTCAATTTTTAAAATTAAATTATGCATCTCATCATAATTGGAGAAACTGTGAGCAAGTGACCCAGGTGCCTGCTTGTTTGCTATCTGAGTGCAAATTATTTCTGGGCAACACCAAGGCTCCTGTTCTCCCTTCTTAAAGTTATTTGTTTTTAAAACAGTTTCAGACCGATGAACTCTTCAGAGAGAGGGCTGTCCTCTGCTGTCCCCTTTATAGAAGACCATCCTCTGTAAAGTAGGACACATGGCTGCCCCTAGAAACACGTCCGATCTTAAGCACTATTGCTGCGTTAAAAATCAGCTAAAATTGGAATTTTAATGTTTCAGGAGGGTACCAGGTTAAAAAAAACTAAAGAGGATTTACAGGGAAAGACACAGGTGGTACAAGTTACGCAAAAGTTAGTATTTCTCAATCTGTAGACTTGGAAAGAGATGAAAATAATGTAGGATAAATACATTAAGATAAATATACTTAAGATGAATCTCTAGCTGCCCAGTTTTCCTCAGGCTCGGCAATTAAGGGTCTGATGGCAATTCAGTGGCGTGATCTGGAAGAAAAGAAAGTAGCTGAGAAATGCTAAGATCCATAGGCCTGAAGGAACCAGAACTCATCCTAGTTATTTCAGCAGTATTCATACAAAATGGGGTTTTGAAGTACTTAATTTGGAGATTATCTGGGAAGAATATTACATTTTGCAAGTTTCTTTCTTTTCCTTTTTTTTAAAAAAACAAAAAACTAAATTTGCAAGTTTCTATGAAACATTTGGAAAGATTTACTCAAATGGTCAATGACTATAACCAGAATTGTTGGTATGAATTGGGTATTTAATTTAATGCTGACTGCCTGGCAACATGTAACTTTAAAATTTATTCTTACTCAAA